GGAGGTGGAGGTGGAGGTGGAGGCGGTCACGGAGGATTCGGAAGCGGAAACGGAGGTGGATTCGGAGGCGGAAACGGAGGTGGATTCGAGGAAACGGAGGTGGATTCGGAGGAAACGGAGGTGGATTCGGAGGCGGAGGTGGATTCGGAGGGAGCTGGTGGATTCGGAGGAAATGCCATCGGAGGAGGATTCGGAGGTTCAAGTGGCGGTGCCGGAGGCTATGGCGCCAATGGCGGAGGCGGAGTGGGAGGCGGCAGCGTGGCTCCTGGAATCCTCCTCGGAAGCGGAAGCCTCGGTGGCTCAGGAAGCGTTGGCGGTTTCGGAGGTAGTGGCGGTTTCGGCGGCGGGCGGTTTCGGCGGTGGAAATGGCGGTTTTGGCGGTGGGAATGGCGTTTTGGCGGGGAAGTGGCGGTTTCGGCGGTGGCAATGGCGGTTTGGCGGTGGGCGGTGGCGGCGGTTTTGGCGGTGGAAGTGGCGGTTTCGGCGGTGGCAATGGCGGTTTTGGCGGTGGCAATGGTGGCAGTTACGGAAGAAAATGATTTGACTTGTTTGTCATTTCAAAATCATTGATATACATCAAATAAAAATCTAACAATCGTAACAAACTGTTTCCTTACTACCTCTTACACAATAAAAAATGTGGAAACCAATCTTCTCCTACAAATTGATTTATGCTTCAAAATGATAACCGGAATGATGTCTATATACTGTTCTAAAAAAACAATTGTAAAGATAACATTCAAGGTATATGTATATCTAATAATCATTACAATGAAATAATATATATATATATATATATATATATATATATATATATATATGTGTGTTGTGTGTTGTGTGTATGTGTGTGTGTGTGTGTGTGTGTGTGTGTGTGTGTGTTTGTGCGTGTATGTATGTATATATATGCATATATATAAAATATATGTATATATGTCTGTGTGTGTATGTGTGGGTGTATAAATGTGTGTGTGTGCGTGTGTGTGCGTGTGTGAGCATGTGTTGTGTTTGTGATGTATAGATATACTTTGATACATAAACACATACATATACGTATTTATATGCAAACATTTGTCATTATCATTTTTACGAATGCAAAGGTTAAGAGGAATAGGAAAGAAAGAAATTTGATGGTATATGATGTGTATATACATATCATGTATATGCTCATATATTAAAATGCTGCGGTAATCCCATGAAGGAAAAGAGGTAATGTAATGAAAACTTTGTTCAAACGTGCCTCATACTGTTCATTGTGTTAAATGGTGATTATTTTATATAATATGAAATTTTTAAACAGTTCTTTCATTCTTTCAGAGATGAGTGATAACTGTATTTTCTCTAATGGGTATCTCTGCATTATTGGTGAATTAGTATGTTTGTTTTCATTAATGATAACATTCGCTCTAATTCGTCAATAACACTTTGTTTTAACTTATTATGTATCTGCTTTATATTACTCACTATTACTCATTATAATTCCGTTTCCACTATTCCAATTATCATTGTAGTTAATATTCATTAATATCATTGTCATTATCAAATGATGATCATAATTAGCATCATCCTTATTAGTAACAATAACATTCTTCGTGTTGCTACTCTTGTCATTATTATTGTGTTTCCTTAACATTATCGTTAAAACTATCACAACAATTACTCCTTGTTCTTAATTTGATCCTTAACACTATATATTTGATTTACCATTACATATAATAAGTATACTCATCAATATGACGAATGCATTAATTGTGAAAACTATGAAAGAGAATTAATAGAATGTAATTTTGATGACGTAACCGAAGCGTATTTACTACATCTTGTCATTTGTCTTTCTTATTATTCGTAGTATTAGCTAATAATGTGATTATTTATGTAATCATAATCTGGGTATTATTGGAAAGAAAAATAGTTAAATAAGCTGTTAAAAAGTCTTCATGTTATCTTTCTTATAATTACATTGGAAGGGACATTTTTCCTGTTCTAATTCCAAAACATATTTTTACCTCATATTATTTGTACCTATGAAAATGCGAAAAAACGAAGGATAATATCACAGACCAAGAAATCAAGGGCAGAAGTGGTCAGACAGGCGCTAAATTTTCCTAGTCACTGAAAACTCAAAAACATTTGCTGAGTAATCTTCCTCTTTCACTCTCTCTCTCTCTCTCCTTCTCCACAGTCTACCATATAATTTCTTCTCCTTAGAAAGACATTTCCAAAGCCGTTTTTACCAATAACATCAAGATTATTTTCCTCTCTTCTTTCTTGCTCTCAAGGACACTGCACTGCGTTCTTGTCCATGAAGATATACCACAGCCTCGTTCCTGTGGCAATAGGCCTCACGCCGTATAAATAGCAGAACGAAACGAGCAAGAGATACAGATCTCTTTGTCAGCCCAACGCGAACAACCATGATGCGCCGCAGCCTCTTGGTAAGGTGGAAATATGAGTGAATATTCATATTTACATACATATACATACAGTGTATGTTAATACATACATGTATATGTGTATGCTTGTGTATGTGTTGTATATGTGTGTACGTCTATATAAACACACATACGCATATGTATATACATCTATCTATCTATAGATGTATATATATACATATTCATAAAAGTAGCTGTAAATATCTATTCAGATATACCTATATATCTGAGCATACACACACACACACACACACACACACACACACACACACACACACACACACAATATATATATATATATATATATATATATATATATATATATATATATAATGCATATGTATAAATGTATGTGCATGCATGCATGTATTTATCATAAATTAATTACATTAAGCATGTGTTACTTAATCAACAGATAACAGTTGCCTTCATGGCGACGGTGTGTGTGGCGGTGGCTGACAGTGGGTATGGTGGACGCGGAGGTGGAGGTGGAGGTGGAGGTGGAGGTGGAGGTGGAGGCGGCCACGGAGGATTTGGAGGCGGAAACGGAGGTGGATTCGGAGGCGGAAACGGAGGTGGATTCGGCGGTGGATTCGGAGCGGAAACGGAGGTGGATTCGGAGGTGGATTCGGAGGAAACGGAGGTGGATTCGGAGGCGGAGCTGGTGCAGTCTCCGGTGGATTCGGAGGAAATGCCATCGGAGGAGGATTCGGAGGTTCAAGTGGCGGTGCCGGAGGCTATGGCGCCAATGGCGGAGGCGGAGTGGGAGGCGGCAGCGTGGCTCCTGGAATCCTCCTCGGAAGCGGAAGCCTCGGTGGCTCAGGAGGCGCTGGCGGTTTCGGAGGTAGTGGCGGTTTCGGCGGCGGTAATGGCGGTTTCGGCGGTGGAAGTGGCGGTTTTGGCGGTGGAAATGGCGGTTTTGGCGGTGGCGGTTTTGGCGGTGGAAATGGCAATGGTGGCAGTTACGGAAAATGATACATGACTTGTTTGTCATTTCAAAGTCATTGATATACATAAAATAAAAATCTGACAATGGTAACAAACTGTTTCTTTACTACCTTTTACATAAAAAAAAAACAAAAAATGTAAAAGCCAATCTCCTATAAATTGATTTATGCTTCAAACTGATGACCGTCACTAATATACATAAAATAAAAATCTGACAATGGTAACAAACTGTTTCTTTACTACCTTTTACATGTTAATCAAAAAATAAAAAGTAATCTCCTCCGATCATATACTATAAACTGAATTATGCTTCAAAATGATAAACAAAATGATATCTATAGTGTTTTAAATGCCGATTGTAACTATACTATTAAAATTAATTTTGTTCACAGACAAATATGTACACATGAACACATATTTATATGCGTATGCATATATATTTTTACATCTATATGCATACAGATATATGTATGAATATGTATGTATATATGTATACATATGTACATATATATTATACATACATATATATATACATATATATGTATATAGATACATATTATAATATATACATATATATGTATAATATGTATGCATATATATACATACATTGCTATATAAGTACATGTATATATAAGAATAAATATTCATGAATATATATTATATATGTATGTATATATATCTATGTGTATGTGTGTGTGTGTTCGTGTATCTATGTATATATGTATGTATGTGTATATATATATATATATAATATATATATATATATATATATATATATATATATATATATATATATGTATATATACATGTATATATATATATATATTATATATATATATATATATATATATATATATATATATATATATGTGGTATCTATCTATATCTATCTATCTATATATTATATATATATATATATATATATATATATATATATATATATATATATGGCTGTGTGTGTATGTATGCATGTGTGTGTGTGCGTGCGCGCGCGTGTGTATGGGTGTGCGTGTTAGTGCGTGTGTGTACATGCGTTTGTGTCTGTGATGTAGATATACTTTTTTACATAAACACTTATATATACGTATTTATATCCAGGCATAAATGTTCATTTGTCATCATTATTATTTACGAATGTGGAGGAATTAAGAGGAATACGAAAGAAGGAGATTTCATTGCATATGCTGTGTTTATACATATCATGTATATTCAGTGCTGCAGTAATTCCGTAAAGGAAAAGATGCAGTGTTATGAGGTCTGTCCAAGCGTGCCTCCTACTGTTCCTTGTGTCAAACGGTGATTATTTCATATAATATGAAATTCTTAAACATTTCCGATAGATAAAAGATGATTGATTACTGCATGTTTTCTAATGGGCATTATTGCAATATTGGTGCAATAGTAGTTTTGCTTTCATTAATGGTGATATTCGTTACAATTCATGAACAACGTTTTCTTTTAACTGTTATTATGTATCCGCTTTATATAATTCCTTATTCCGTTTCCACTCTTCCAATTATTATATTATAGATATTCATTAATATCATTGTCATTTTATATGATTATCATAATTATCAACATCATTATTAGTAATTATAATTTTCGTCGTGTTGTTACTGTTGT